GAGTCAGGTGAGTAAAGGCAATGGTAAGCAAAGACATTGGCTTAAGGTTAATCAGCAGGGAAAGTGTTTCAGTCTTTTACCAGAGTTTGTGAGATAAGACACTTCACATGGTTTCAGGCAGCACAGGTGCTTCAGATGATTTATTCAAAGATCATCTCATTGCACATGTGCTTATTTACACAGCTCCATCATTTTCATTTCTGCCTTTCTTTAAGAATTTTACTATGGACTATTACAAGGTGGGACAGAGTGCTGTCTCGAAACCTACAGCCATTGCATCCACCAAACACAGGCTCTGCAATTACCAGTATTTATGATGAAGTTTTAAAAATGCCGTGTACCTGAATCATTATCTAAGGCTCTGCTATTATAAGTGTCAATGGAATAGACTTGACTAGGCTAGGTGGAAAGGCAGGAGATGAAGAGGAAAATGGAGCACTGACAGGAACTCATGAATCCAGCTGATGCTCTGTCCTGGGACTTGCTCTTTTTCCCCTTGCTCATTGACAGAAAGGTAGGAGAGAACTGTGCTTTAGTTCTTGAGTCTTCTCTGTCCTAATAACATCAGATGCCACATGACCTTTAAGTGCAAACCAGTACTAATTGTGCAGATCACCTACCTGCTTGCTATATCCTCAGTATTTAGGCTCTGATAGGTGTCAGATCACTTTGCTCTATGAAACCTGCTCTATATGGTTGCTCTACATTTCTTCTGACAGATTGCTACAAAGCATTTAATCAAACTCTTCCATTCTTACTAACAGAGGCCTGCAGCAGTCTCACCAACTGCATGCTAGACTGAAGATCAAGAGGTAGTTCAAAGGAGCCTGAAACAGGGGAGGATAAAGGAAAGTAGATCTTCCTTTCCTAAACCCTGAAAGATAGTTAGGGGGAAAAAAAGTGAGAAAAAAAAAAAAAGAAAAATAAAGTGACTATGTTTTTCAAAAAAGAAAAAATGTTTCGGTCTTTTGGGAGAAAAAAATATGTGAGATTTAGGAAGTCTGGCTGTAATCACAAGAAAGAAAGAGGACACTGCCTTAGGTCTATGAGAAAAACAAAAAACCAAACCAGATGTTTTAAAGGAGAGATAGGAGGAGGTAAATTTAGGGGCAACAGGAAAGCAAATTTTCCCTCAAATCCTCAATTTGTTTTCATTACCACCATACTAGTGACAAAAAATGTTATATGAATGTTTGTGGGTTTGTTTTTTTTTTTTTTTTTTTTTTTTTAAGAACTGCCTTTATCCAGCAACCTGTGCAGAAGGACATGTAATTTTTAATCTTCATCCTATCTTTCTTTCAGCACCATCCTTCTTTATTGGATTCAAAACTCAGCAGGTACTTAGGTGTTTCCCAGAACAAATATCTGTCTTCCTGTATTTTTTCTTTGGTCACTACTGCACAAATAAAACATCTCCTGATTGAAGCCAATCAGGTCACAGCTGGCCATTGCCAGTACATTGTTTAATAACAAGTCAGGAGTTTTACAACAGGCTCTTATTCTGCAGAGGCTGGTGTAACAGCACACTAACAAGGAAAAAGCCAGAACAAAGCAATTTGGGTTTCTGCATTAGCAGCAACAGTAAACGAAAAATACGATTCAAAAGAACAAAATAAATGTTTTCATCCTTTTGCTTTTTTTTTTTTTTTTTTTCCTTCACTGTGATTGGTATTACTGATAGCAGGATTTCTTCTATGGAAATTTTGTGCTTTACTAGTGTGAGAATGTGATTATGTGGGATGATGAGAGTTTTGCCAATGAGAACTGCCTGTGTGCACCTCAGGGATGGATCAAACCTTTATTATTTATGAGAACATACAGACTATGAGATTCACAGTAGTACAGATACATTTAACAATGTCCTGTGAAGTGTCCTGAGAAAATATCTCCAGATTCTGCACTGGAGATCAGTGCAGCTCTACAGCACATTTTGTTTATGCACTCATTTTTCCTTCTCAGCATATTTATTTTTGTTTGGGTGCTTGCTTTGTTTTCCATTATAAAGACAGCATGGCTCTCACACTTTTAAGACCACCTACATTTAGACCTTGAAGAGCTATCCTTAACTTAGATCTTTAGGAGCTATCTCAATGATTCATTGCCATTCAGTCAGCATACCAACAAAAATCAAACAATTTCCTATAAGCTGGGCTTCACTTTTTATTATTTAGGTGCTAAATGAAATGTTTACTGGCTTATTTTTCATTGCACAGCCAAGAAAGGATTGGTTTATATGTGAAAGGACTGGAGAAAACGTGGATGGAATAGGTCTTCACAGTAAAAGGGATCCCTTGGCTGAGTTCTCCTCCCCTCCCAGTTGTGTTGGGGTCTCCCATCAACACAAGCACAGATTATTTCATTACTTGCTGCTACATCTGAGATTTCTGACACTCTAAATGTCTTTTGGTGTAAGATTCCTTAGAGTTTAGGACAGTAGAACATTTCTACTGGTGTGGGGGGTAGGTTGTGCATGGAGGACACAGGGCTGCATAAGGAACTGAGGAAAAGAGGAACTGAGGGCACGATGACAAAGGATAGATTTGGAAGGTCAGGGACTAGATCCAGTTATTTCCCCTTCCCACTACAGCACAACTGAGGACTAAGCTTCCAATCAATGCAGCAGCTAGCTGGGCTGGGGCAGCAACAGTAATGGTGAAGCTCATCTCCAAAAGCAGAACACCTGTCTCAACAGCTGATAACCGAAGCAATACTCTTTGCCATGCCAACTAGATATTTAACCTGCTCTTAAAACCTTCAGTGTGGGAGATCCCACATCCTTCCTAGCAGTTATGTTCCAATACAGCAGGTTGTGCTCTAGTTTCTTCCTTCACCCAGGAATGCCTTTGGGACTCCATCTGCACTGACAGAGCAGAGGGAAATCAAGCAGGTGGTGGGTGAGAAGCATAAAACTATGGAGAAGTTGTAGAACTCGAGCTTTCTCAGAGGTCTCCTCTCTCCTCCCCCTCATCAGGCACTCATGGAGTGAAGTAGATGGGTGGAATGGGGCAGGAATAAGGAAACAATAGATTTCTACTATGGGCCAAGATGTGGGACTATTACATCTAGACTTCAAGGTCTTCTATTTTTTTTTTTTTTTTTTTTTTTGGCCAGGAATTAGCTAAATTCTCTCATTTCACCCAATTAGTAGATGGCTTCTTCCATCCAAACTCAAATAGGAAAGAAAGCCCCAAATAATAGGAGTCAATTATCAAACCTGATTTGTTCTTGGGACACTCTGAAGAGGTAAATGTGATAAAGAAATGCCTAACCTAGAATTTGTGTAGTGAAAATCTGTAATACAACATGAAACTGGACTGCCTCCACTGTAGCATCTTCAGAACATTTGAAAACAGGTGTAACTGTACAGACACTGAGGGAGTTCAACACTGGCTGGATACTAGATATTTTTTGCATGATACAGTGTGAGTTTGAAAAGATGGACTATCTTAATTCACAGCATGTACAGGGAAGTACTTAATCGCTGCAGTCATTTTTAATGCTGAAGCTAACTGCAAAATTTAAATCTTAAAGTCAAAATTTAAATACCAGAAGAACAATTTTAAAAAGATCAGCTAGGCCACTTCTGTGTTAGAAGCTGGATGCATTTATATCATATTATCTAAATGTTTTTGTGTTATTTACTCCAGCATTTATAAAAGACTCAGTATCAAAGCAGGGAATAGAGTTACAATGAATAATCTGTATTCTTTATTCAGTGTAAATTAATTCAGGTCTCTAAGCACTATGGGAATTAGCATTAAAGACATAGTAAAAAGGTTGAAATGGAAGTTTAAACTGATGCACCATAAATATTCCCATTGAATGTTTTAAGCTTTTTTTCCCTCCCATTAGCGTAGATTATTCTGTTTATAGATGCTGGGGTGAAAGAAGACTCCTGTTATTAAGAAAAAACCTCTTGCTAGGAATGCTCAAGAGGAAAACTTAGCATAAGACTTTGTAGGGATACCCCACTACAGGAAAGCAGTAATTATTTTGCTTGACTCACTGTCTATCATCATGTTGTACTCCTGTGGGGGGGTCCTTCACCTGTCTCTCCTCTGCTGCTAGTATAAGATTTTTCTCAAGGATTATCACTGCATAGCACTTAGTGCTGTCGGTTCTAAGTTCAGGCTGAACGCTCCTACACAAGACAGCACAAATAGTACAGAAATACCAGTCAGGTAGCCCAACAAATAATGCAGAAACATCCAATCAGGCCAATCCTATTAAAACATATTCCTGTGACTCAGGCTGTGTCCATAAAATACATATGATGACTGATGAACATCTATCTATTATTTTCCACCAAGTTTTCTTCCTTCCTGTCTTTTCTCTTCTCCCTGCAGTCCTAACTCTTCTTCACAGACTTTCTTTTACTGACATATCCATTTGACCTTCTGTACCACTGAACCAGGGAAGGGAAGTGTTTCTATGCAGTTTTGTTGATTTGCATTCATCATTTCATGAGCACTGATGAGGATAAAGCTACGCTAAAGATGCTTTTCTTGTTTAAGAAAACTTCTAAGTTCTTTAATGGAAGAAAAATTGAAATTAACCCAAAGCAAATTGGAAAGATTGCATTCTATCTCCCTTGGTCTAGATCTGGGCATTATGTATCAGGGTATGCAAAATACCTTATGTTACCATGCACTGCTTTATAAAAAAAGAAAACTTGCCCCCAAAACTTACAACTGGACGCACTCAAATCCCAGCTTCCCTTAATGAAGCACTCTGTGCTCAGTGAATTTTTTGCTGCATTAATAAATCATGTACAGTTCTCTTCCTGAATACAAATAGGCTTTAGGCCCTGTGGACAGAAGCCACCATTACAGCTCATCCAATATATCAGTCAATGAAACCATGTACCTGCTTAGGAGTGTAAGATCCATGACCATTTTTCAAGACCATACACAACCTGGACAGTGTTATTAGAGGGCTTGAGTAACCCAGTAAGTGTCACACACCCAACCAAGTTAGAAGCATGAAAACAGATTACTCACCTCAAGCACAAGAAAAGCATAAAGGCAACTATAAGGGCCCCTACTGATATACAGTGCCCCAGGTAGTTTATGATGAGAGCAATCTTGTAATGGAGCGCATACTTCCTCTGGAGGTAAAGAGATAACACGATTAAATCAACATGACTCTCTAAGCACTGACATTAAGGAACAGTTAATCAGTTTAGGAAACAGTAATTACTTTTCTCCACTTTAAAATGATACAATAGCCCCAAGGTTGATGCCTATGCATAAGCTGAATATGCTGCCCAAGCACAGTAGTACAGGCTTGGTTTAATTTCAATTTGGGATTTGTCTACAGTTTCTTACAAATCTCAACAAACAAACAAATAAGGTTCCTCCCTCCACACCACCCCCCCATTTTTTTTTTTTTTTCTATCCTGAAGTTTCCTCAGGTTTTCTTATTTTCATTATTACACTATTTTTTAACTTTGTCATTTTAGGGCGAGAAATCTACCAAAGACACATCTTCTCACAGTTTCTAAAGTTATAAAGCATTATCCTGTTAGGAAACTGCACAGTCTTAATGAGCCAGCTTATGCTACTTTCCTACTCAAATGGTTTGGTTTCCATACAAAAATTAATCAGTTGACACTAAGAATAAATAATAAGGCCTTTCTAGGCAGATTTTTCTCTGAGGTACATTCCTTGCAGGCTATGATCCTTATCTTTCAAACTGAAGGCAGAACTGAAAGGGATGGAATCTGGTGGTGTCCTTTCAGTTTTGAGAGAGAGCCTGATGAACCAGAGATCCTGTTGTTATTAGCAGCAATCCAAGTATGTGGTGAAACTAATGTATTAGTGCCTATTTCCTAGGATGCTTTTGAGATTATTTGTTGGTTCTTGATCCTGTAAACAAAAAATTAAGTACAAAAGTGCTCCCACCTAAGTCAGTGAATTTAGTGATGTGACCAAAATTTGACCTTGAAGTAACTGGAACATTCTTTATTGGTGGACTGCTGCTGGCTTCAGAGAAAAGAGAAGCATCTCCTCTCTGTCTGATGGATAGGAAGAAGTAGAAAAACACTATTCAGATAAATACTGAAGCTGGTTAAAAACTGATAGAGGTTTGCCACTTAAAGAATAAGTCCCACTGAAAAAAATATATTTATTTATTCGTTAGTTTTGGCATTTGTTTCTTTTTAGGTTAGGCAGATCTTTCCCCACTTTGGGATGTTGTCCTCCTCCAGAAGAATGAGACCTTTGAAAACTAAACGCCTAAATTTCCTCTCTTGTGACAAAAATATAAAAGTAAAATCCTACAAATGGCATCAGTTTTCTAATTTTGGTTGAACTTCCTTTGTTTCACTTTTTTCTAACAATTTCCTTTAGCATTTTATTCCAGTCAAAGGAATTTATCAGTGAATGAATGTTTGGATGAAACTACAACCAGCAGCTGTAGTTAATCTGCTGCATTGTTCTGTGAAGATAGCATCTTCCAGTACTTTGCCAGTGCTCTTGGAACCATTTTTCTGATGAAACCTGCCTCTATCTTCAGCACACGAGTAACGTGCTGTTTCTGGACAGAACTCAACCATGTAAGGTATTTTTAAGTCTGTTATAAAATCCCCTAAAATAAACTTCCCCATGCACAGGCTCATTTTCTGAATAGCCTGGAGGAGAAATAAAAAAAAAAAAAAAACAAACCTCCAAACCTACAAGATCTGAATTCCGCACCAAGTTTTATTTATTCTTAAGTCACAGGGACAGCTAAAGGAGAAGAAAACACACTTGACCTGATGTGCCTACCTGAAATTCAATGTTGTACTGTTCATCTAGTGCCCTGGCAAACTGGCTTGCTTATTTAGTTTCCTGATTAATTCATATAATCATAGAATATCCCAAGATGGAAGGGACCCATAAGAATCATTGAGCCCAACTCCCTGCTTCTCACAGGACTACCTAAAACAAAGCCATATGACTAAGAACATTGTTCAGAATTGCTCATGCAAATTCAGAATTTCAGCACTATCTAGAAATGTTCTGGACAGTGAAAATGTTTCTCCCAGGCCAAGGGAAGGCTCTTTGAATATGACTGTTCAGTTCCTTCCTTTGGCTCCTAACCCCTATTTCAACTTCAGTCAAGTTTTGAGTGAGTATGGTTCAAAACACGAGAAAATTAATTGTAAAAAAAATAGAATTAATCTCCTCTTTGATGCACTGCTGAAGGAAAAACACGTATAACTTATTTTTTTCTGTTGCTGACACTATTAAGATTTCCTGAAGGCAAATTCAAATATCACAGAAACAAGAACTGCTACAGTGCTTATGAAAAATAAGCTGACAGGGTGGCAAGATCACTTTCTACCAACCTACATGCAATCTGCAACTCTGGTAGAATTGGAGACAACACCTCCAGGGCTGAAAAACACGTGCCCAGAATCAGTCATGTGTTGGCCAAAGCTCAGTTCATGTAAAATACTTGCATAACTCTTCTCTGTCTCACCCTCTTGAAGACTGATACATTTAAAATGGTAACAACCTTCTACTGCTACCCAATATTGTTCTGCTTCCAGAAAGATGTTTCACTTTACTAAAATGCAGTTTTAAATCCTATTCAGGCTTGGGAAGAGGGTTGTTACATTAGAAAAGGGATAGAGAAGGAGATGGTCTGGACACCGTTGGCCTTGCTCTCCGGATCACAGCAGGTCAGATCACTGGAGTCCTCTTCCATGCCGTATCTTATGCACGACAATCATGGTGCATCAGATAGTGCAGAGTTATCTTCCAGCCAGCTTCTACCAGTTAAACTAAGGAATCACAGCTTTATGTTTTTGCCTGCACCAGGTTTGCAAATCTAAAGCAAACTGGGTTCCCTGCAGGCAGATTTCAGGCTAATGATGGAGTCATTCTGTCTAGAGGACTTCTTGCTTTGCTTTAGCTAGGACATGACTGCTAACTTGTCCAGACCAAATCAGCTAATGATTTGAACTAATAACAACCTAATGACAGCGTTCTTAGCTCTCCAGATAACAAGGATCTTTCTCCCTCCAACAGAACTTCCTGCCAGGTCCTGCCAGTGTTTACAGCACACATCTTCCTGCGAGGCTCTGCACTCCATTCCCACTTAAGTCACTTTAGATTTCTTCCTGTTGCCAGGATGATCTCATCACCTGTACAGATTAAAGACACCATATCTCCTCTCCAAAGACTTTCAGAAGCAACTGGTAAGTATCTTTGATATCCAAGATCCCTCCGTGTTCACTGCTTTCCTGTTCTGAACCAACTGGAAGCTGGGTAGCTGTGTCTAATGTGACTGTGATCCTAAGTAGGATACATGAACTTAAGCCTAACATGGTGCTAACTCAGCTACACAGCTTTAATCTACCTCAAAATATTAGCAGAACCAAGTTCATATCCAGCTGCCATTGGCCACGTAGACAAGACCAAAGTTCCTAATTTGTAGCTCTTTTTGGAAGCTAAGATGTAATTTTTGCTGCCAGACTCTCAATTTGTCTTCTAACAAGAGCACAGATTTGTGCCAGATGCAACAAAGGTCCGTTTGGCACAGGAGCTTGTAGACTGAGTAGAAGTCTTCCATTTATCACACATTATGTCATCAAATAGCCAGTTGGATCAAAATGATTTCTGTACCTGATTCCTGTGGCTGGAGAAGGAGCTGATTGTTCAGAGGATGGGATTCAGTCTGATGTTAGGACACCTGCATTTGGGTACCTGCCCAGCATCTGAACCAATATCTGAAGCAAGGGCTAGAAGTTACACACACAGGCTTCAAGTGCCCCTTGAGATGCACTCAGGAGACTCTGTGCTTCCTAGCTGGTTCTGGTGACTGACCTCCAATTGCTGCTGCTGAAGGACAGGTATTCCAGAAGGCCTGTGTCACACCTGCCAGATGCATGGAGACACACTGGGGCATTTTAAACTATACCACGTAACTACATGCAGGCAAATACATCCCAGCCAAAGTGGGAATCTAGGAGAAAAGCAGTCCCAGAGCACAGTTTTATCAGCTACTGCCACAGGCCTTGACCACAAGTAAAGCAATGATGTATTAATGTAATCCAGTGAATGTGTGTTACAGGAGTTTATGCCTCCTAAGACTGACTCACAGCTGAAAAAAACTAAAATTTCCCATGCTACATTACCAACACTCTCATAAAGCATGCAGAACTGGACATGGAGTTGATCTTGAAAAGCCCTGTTCCTATTCCATGTATCAATCACTGCATTTGAAGTCAAACCATGTAATTCTTTAGCACTCTGGCTGTGAGTGGCCAAGCTTGAAAGTAGTGTTGTTTCATGTATTAAAAATAAACATAAAACATAGGGTGCACCTCCTGGCTGATGCTTAGCATCTGCTAGGATCAGTCAATAAATAACAATAGACCCGCATGTGTGCTCGCGTCTCACCTTTAATCAAAATGGAGGATTAGGGAAATCCGTGGGTACTTTTCTTCTTTTTTATTTTTTTTTTTTTTTTTAGATCACAAAGCAACCCAAGTATTCATCTGTAACACTGAGCATTATGTAGAGATTTCAAAAATATTCACAAATATTAATATTTGTGAAGCTTGTTGCAAATCTTTAAAGATCTAAAAAATGAGGTTTTAAGCTTTTGCAAACAAGGGTAGGGGAACATCTGCACTTTCATCTGTTTAAGGAACATGCTATTTAAGAAGTTTTAAGCTATCACCATAGCTGCAAAGTTTTTAAAAGCAAAAACAGAGTAAAGGAAATAATCCTGTCCTCTAGTCACAACACTTCTCCAGACTCTTCAAACAAAACTCCTCTGTATTTGCTTGTGCAGATATAGCAACTGTTCAAGTCATGCAGACAAACACATAGAGAGTATAATTAAAATGCAGCAGCATTTTCCTGAGCTGGTACAGCAGACTGCTACTATCAGCTCAGGTTTCCCATACCAGCTAAACCACATTAAAGATTTTGAGTCCTTGCCCAGCTCTGTTCCCCATTCTCTAAATTAGTACTGGGTGCTACACAGACCCCTCTCTTGCTCATTTTTAAGCGATGGTTTCACAGAAGTGCAAATCCATTTCAGTCAGAGGTGGTCTGCTACCATGGTCTTCTCTCCCCCTCAACTCCAGCCATGCTTTTACTTCCTTTGCTTGTGCTACCCTTCAGCACTCTTGCAATAATGCGATAAGATGGTTTAGGGAATTGATTCATCCAAAAAGTGACCCAGAAAAAAGTTAGTTTTTAATTTTAAGTGGGAAAGAAAGGTAAGGAGGGGCTGCACTGGGGTGGTCCCAACTCAGATCAGCTTACATTGCCGTGGGAGCCTCTCCACTGTGCTATACCACCTTGAATGTGTATCAGTCCCTCCTGATGGCAGTCATGTATACTTTTTCTTACTTTCTAGAAGCCTCTAGCAAATGGAATTGTGTGTATGGGGTGGGCTACCACCAAATTATATAGCCAGTGGGTAAGAGTAGGCCCTCTGCAGCAGCTGGTGTGTAGTTATCTGTTTTCTGATTCACTTGTCAAAGCGCACATTCAGCAGCAACATGGATCTTACAGGATAGATGCTGGGCCACAGCCAAAGCACACCATGACTGTTTTGGGTACAGCACTGGTGCAGATAGTTCCCAAATACTAAATCCAAATTAGCTTTGCAAACAGTCCTAAGCAGGTAAGACCTTGTCTTCCTCCTCTCTGTCTGCAACTGGCATGGCATAACTCGAATGACAGAGTGAGTGGAATGAACCCCAAAACATAAACAGGCCTGAGCTTCTGGGCTCCACCCTGGTTCTTGGAGGGGAAAGGCACCTCTGGCAGAGAGACAGCACAAAACCGATGTGTGCTCATGTCCCACCACAGCACTCAATACAGGAGGAAGAGAAAGAACACAGCATGAAAGGCTTGAAGGTTTGAACTGTGTGAGGATAAATGTCTATGATGTCTCCAAGCAAAGCTGACACATTTGACAAGAAAAGGACTTCGCGTAATTGCTTGCAGCCTTTCTGAGGGATCTTAACCCTGTATGCTAATTTCATTCTGCAAACTCCTATATAATGCAAGACCGTCTCAGTCTTTTAAAGACAGCTGGGACCCAAGTCTGCCTTTTATGTATTTTTCTGTTGCTGCCTCTTTACATATTTGCTGAAGGAAAAATGACATTGAGATCCGGAAAGGCCAGTTGTTGATGGCTTCTCTGACCTCAGAACTGATAGGTACAAATGGAATCAGCTGGTGAAAGTTTATTTTTTGGTGCCAAAGAAACTTTGGTCTTATTGTTATTATTACTAACATTTGCTGTAGCAGCTGTAGTCTCTGAACAAAGCTAGGAAGGATCTGCATAAACATACATAATCAGGGACAGAGTGTAATAAAGCATCCTTTTTTAAAAACCATTTGAATAGTGGGTATGGAGAGAGGATAAGTGATTTGCCTGAATTCACAGGGAGGATTTGCTGCAGAGACAGAAATGGAATCAGTTTCAGAAGTCCCAAATTAGTATGTTAACCTTAAGCTCAGCTTTGCATTCATGTATGCTGAGAAATGTCATTGAGAAAAATGAAGGGAAAAATACAGACCTTGTCATCCAGAATAGGCTCGCACTGAGAGTAGTTTATCTTGGAAGCCCATGTCCCATTGCCCAGGCATTCTCTGTAGGCATTTCCTGGTACAGACCAAAATAAAAGAGAGATGAACACTCTGTGCTGGATTTTAAACAGACTAGCAATTTCACAGATTTAAGAAAAGGTTAGCAGAACAGGTTATTCACAAGGCAAACCACCTCTGTGAGGACTAGAACAGCCTGCTGAGGAGAGAAGAGGAGAAATAAAGGACATAAACATATTTAGAGACAACAAGTATTTAAAGATACTTATTGATAATGTTTTTTTACAACATATGGGTTCAGAAGACAGCAAAGGTATGAAAAGAATATTGCAAGAGAAAGTTTAATGTTAGTATTGATTTTTAAAAAGCAGTTAAATGATGTTTTCAAAAATGGGCAGAAAGATTTAGGTCTTTAGTGCCCCGTCTAGGAGAATGGTATGTTTATGGTAAACTTACTGCTGTACTTTCCTTCCATTTATCCCACTGTAAACTAGAAGAAATGTTCCTGGAGATACTGATTTTCTAGTTTTCCTATGCAACAACATTATTGGTAAAACTTCTGCAAAGAACCTGAAAAAGTAGCAAAGTAACCACATCTCCCAACCCTGGGGCAGGCAGGCTGGGGGGACCACACACAAATGTCTCTGAACAGATTTCAGAAATGTGTACACCTAGGTTAGGATGTATTCACCCATCCTCTGTGAAAAATAAACCACTTCTGATCTTTTTCCAAGGTGCCAGTTCTCCCATATTGTAAGTGAAAACCACGAATTCCTTTACTGAAGCAGAGAGTTTTCACGTTCAATCATAATGTCACCCGGAGGAGCTCTGGGAACTGCGTGTAGTAATATTGGGGGTGAGGAGGGGAGTTCAATTTCTGGCAAGCAGTCCTCTTCATCCAAGGAACTCAGAGAGAAAACTAGGCAGTATTGCTGTATAAACTACCTTCCTCCACCCATCAAAAGCACATCCAATCCCAAGCAATATGTTTTTCCATGCTTATTTTGAACTGTGTCTTAGAAACAAGAGAATTAAAATAAAACCAGAAATTCAGAAAGATCCCCAAAGGACACATACAGACAACTTCCTAATGAACTCTTTATGATGTTCCTACTGTCCTTTACCAAATTTGTTCTTGGGCCTTTTGCCATGGTCATTCGGTGCTAGTTCAGCACCCAGCCATCAAGAAAATAAGATGTCAAATAAAAGCATCAGATTGAATGTTTCTAAAAGTGCTGTTGACAACAGCCATTGAAAAAGGTAGAAAGACTTTTGAAAAGGTGCTTTTTGCTACAGAAGAGGAAAGTCCACATGGAAAGCAACAAGTAACAATTCATCTAGACGCTCCAGATAGCACCGTATCTATACAGATCACTGAATTTCATTTCAATTACTACTGTATATTTGCACTTTCTCACTTTTTCTTCTTGGAGTGACAAGGCCAAAATAAAGTAAAATAAAATGACTGGTAACATTTGGGTCAACTACAGAAACTTGTGCTAAAGGTTAATGACTTGACTTTCCATTTCTGTCACTAGTTTACAGACAAATTCACACAATTTCCTCTCTTTCTTACTGGAGAACCAGGCATAGACTGCCATTTTCTGTGCAATTTTTTTGTGCAATTTTCCCCTGAAGGCTAAACAGGTGATTAGACTTCTTTCCTCACTGCTCTGTATATTATTATTATTCAACATCCCAAACACATGTTTTGGGGCATCTTTTACCCCCTTCCTCTGAGACCAGGTCTGAATGGGATTCAGGTGGTTGCATCCATGTTACATCCCTGAAAGCCCTTGTATTTGGCTGCTCCTTTTGGCCAGTGCTCAAGATCTCTGTGCAGAATGGTTGCTGATTTTGAGTATTTGCAGAAAATGTCTGAGTCTCCAGCCACTGAGTGGGAAGCATTGATTCTTAGTCAGATGTTGAATCCCACTTCCAGTATAGTTCTCATATGAAACCTTTGTTTTAATCATTCTGTCTCTTCCTTCTTATTGCCACATCTTTCCAGCTCAGATGTGGAGACCACAAACACAATCAATGCTATGAGGCACTTAGAATGTCCAAATGGGCCTACATAAGTACCTGGCAGGGAAAACCACATTTGAATCAAGGAGTTATTTATCCATGCAAAAGGAAAACCACTCTTTCTGACTTGCCTCTAGACGAGAAATTAACAGAAAACAAAAATAGCTTGAAGTTGGGTGAAAGAGAGGGGAAGTGTCAAAACTAGGAGAAGAAGCTGCCTTTGGCCCCAAGGATCTCTTGAAAGATTTCCCTTATTTGAAAAAGAAAGCAAATATTAGCAGTGCTGCCCCCATGCACACTAACTTCTTCCTCTGCTCTTCTCATGGTTACTTCCATTGTACAGGTACAGAAACAGAAGCAAAATGTTTGTACATGGCTTCCTGAAAATGACCTGGCAGGACCATGGCAGAGCTGTGAACCATCACCAACCACGTATTCTACCTTACCAGGTTACAGTCCCTCTGTCTCCTGCACTACATCTTCCCTGTTCATCAAAACCTTCTTTTCAGAAGGATGAATGTGTGTCTCATGTTTCTTGTCAAAAAGAATTATTAGAGAACAGATCACGATCAGCAAAGCAAGATAGAATGTAACAATTGCCATCCATTTCCACCTCCATTTTGATGTGTAACCCCTCCACTTAGAATATTGGGAGCCATAAAATGTGCCTCTGAGCTCTCTTTCAGTGCAAATGCAGGGCTCCTATACAACACCCACATCAAAGCAGTTCTTTGAGAAACCGTTATCTGGGTTTATGAGCTGTCACACCAGACTCTTAGATGGTAAGTACCTGAACAAGTGGAATATAAAGAAACTCTGAATTTCTGTAGTCCAGAATCTCCTTCAGTATCAGCCACTTCTTGGAAACAAAAGCAGCAAGTAGATCTGAATTCTGAGAATATCTCATTCCAAACTCTAGTAGTCATATGTAACTTATACCCCAAAGCAATGGTCTTCCAAATTCCTAAAAGCATTAATTCTAATAGCCACATGGAAACAAGCTCCCAACCATACTGAATGTATTTCCATATATCTATTTTAATAACATAATATAGCTCTTTTACCCAGTGCTTTAAAGGAGAAGTGTCTAAAGGAGAAATAACTGCAGGCATCTGGAAGAAACAGCTCTTGTTCATGCACAGATGAATCCCATGGCATATAAATGTGTCTAGCATTTCTAGGGGACACTGGACCAATCGCATATGCACTCAACAGAGGCTCAAGGAGTTCACAGCCAGTCACATCTGGAGTGTGCTGAACTTCCTGCGTGAGCCTGTATATCTCTGCACAGAAGACCCTGGATGAAATAATGGCAACTTCAAATAACCATCGTAGTTTTTCTCACAGCAGCAAACAGCTGCTTCATATCATCCCTACTTACTGTTAAAAACAGCACAGAGAAGGCGAAGAAATAACAGACACTGGACTCAATGACAGGCTGAGTCACTGAGACATGCAGAGCTGTAGCAGTGATCAAAGCAGCAAAGAGATGCCAAAAAGCTGACAGATACATTGGTTCTGTGAAAGACAGCAATGGAAGATACGTGTCCCCCAGCTTCAGAGTATGTAAAGGAAAAGAAGAGGGAAACCAACAGTCAGTGATCTTGTCAAGAGATTTCTATGATTTCTTTGGTGATTGAACATGCTGAAGAATATTCCTTCTCACCTGGTTTTCCAATGAGAACTGCGATTAATGTGCTTTGTGCTAGAAGCATTCTTGCCTTTTGCTTTAAAGCACTGTGTACAGAAAAAGACTGGATTAAGTTCAGTTTTTCTTAACAATTGTCATGAAAAATAAGGAGAAAATGGAAGAGTTATAATGCAGAATTTCATTGTAGAAACAAAAAATGAACACCTAGGAAGAAATGAACAGTTACATGATCTTTTTAGGGCAACAATAGCTAATGAGAGCTATTCGCACCAATTCTTTTTTTCCTACTTAAAAAAAAAAAAAAAAAGTTTCAATTTTCATTTTCTTAGACAAATGGCATACTGAAAAACTCAGTATACTTTCTCTTCTCATAATTTCTCCTTCCCTACTGACTTTATTCTAAAGAACAGATATGCAAAATACAGAGATTTTTAGTGGTTATAACTTGTGGTTATTTGTGCCCTGTGTGCACTTGTACTCATATAATACAACTGGACAAGCAGATTTATTCTTCATGCATATGAATAATGAGCATCAGATGACTCATGATGACACAGGCAACATGCAGACATTATACACATAGGTTTGACACATCATCCAATATTCATTTCTATGCTTCAGTCTATGGCCTCTTCTTTGACTTTGAAAATGTTGATTTCCTTTCATTGTAGATTATTAGCAATGTTTGTGACACTTGATTGCTTCTGCTTAACCATCAGTCCAAGGGACATGCAAGGAGGTAAAAGGGCACTCCCTGAATAGAAGGAAATATCCAGTAGGACTAGACTGTCACTCAGGTTTCCATCTTCCAGAAAATGTATTTCACCCCCTCCAGGTCAGCCAACATACCATACACATTCTCATATTTCCTCTAATGGCCGATTCAGTCACACTGATCATAGTCATATTCTACAAATAAAGCCAATGACAGCAATAGCAGTATTCCCAGAGACAAACACAGCAAGTAGAGCCCCTCATACAGTGTATTGCAATACTTTACACTACTGTTCCTGCTCTGTAGTGGTGGCTGCTGTTTTGACAGCCCAATGCCAAACCTTGATTCTACGCACCAGCCAACATTTCAGCTCCATACACAATATAGATGCACATACACAAAGACAGTTGAAGCACCAACATTTGCAGTTCTCAAGGGCTCTAAGGTGATGTAAAAGGGATCTCAATTTCTGAAAACCTTTTTATCACATCATAAAAATGTAGGTAAAAGCTCTGAGCATGACTATAACAAAGCACTGGCAGGAATACAAATGGGAAACCCTATTCCTACAAGCAGCCACCTACAGCAGGAACAGGAACTCTCCAATGTATGAAGCTATTGTAAAAGCAATGCTTGCCAAAGAGTCCTAGTGAACAAAACTTTT